ATCATCAGTCAGAAACACAGCTCTCCTTTGAAATTTATACTTTTCCAAATTTTGCAGTGCAGTTCTCCAACCAAATAATGTGTACAAAATGGAGTATATCAGTGAAAATAACATATAAAATGCATTCTCTCAGGGTGAAATGGCTTGCAAAAATACTAGGAAAAACTGTTTATAAAATATGTACTTTAGGATAAATAGATTGCACAGTAAGCCTTTAATTCTCGGCAGATTTCCTTAGATGTAAGACTTGTTGGACACAGTGGAACAAGTAAACACACAGAGGCCAGCGTGTTTTGGTTGAGCCTCATCTTTCTGGTATTGGAAGTGCAGAATTGTTAGGTCTAGGTAACAGGGAAAATGCTCTGCTTTGTTGACCAAGCAAGGGAAGAGTACTAGGCTCCTAGCAATTATAGGTCCCTGGCCTTGCTAATCCCAAGGGATCAAACAAAGGGTGTTGCTGCTGATCCTGTTTCTTTTTGAGCTTGGAGAAGACTCTGAGATTTGGGGAAAACAAAACATAGTCCCAGCCGTACCATTAAAGTTTAATCAGTCAACCACTGAACTTCTCTTTAAGCACATCACAGCCTCAAACTCCCTCCTAATTCTCTTTTTTTAGCTTAGGAAGAGGGTGGCCATGCCACATGACAGATGATAGGCCTCTCTTTGAAGGGTTGTCTGAGAACTGAGGAGCATCTAAGAATGGGGGAGACCCAGGTTTAAATCTCTGCTGAAGCTCATTGGATGACTTTGGGTCAGCCTATCATCATTTTTCAGTGGCTGCCAATTGATTCCCTGGCCCAATTCAAAGTTCTGATTTTGGCCTATAAAGCCTTAAATGGCTCAGGACTGCAATACCTCAAGGACCACCTCTTCCCATATGAACCCACCCAGACCCTGAGATCATTCTCTGAGGCCCTTCTTCGTGTGCCTTCTTCACAAGACATCCAGAGTGTGGCAACATGACAGCAGGCCTTTTCTGCAATGGCTCCCCATTTGTGGAATGCTTTTCCATGGAGGTTTGGCTGGAGCCTTCATTATATCTCTTCAACCAGGCTTTTGGCTGATTGACATCTGATTCCCCTTTAAATGTGTTGTGGGAGGGTGGGGAGATTATTGGTTTGTTTTTCTTTTTATTATGTATTCTGTGTTTTTTAAATTGTAATTTTATGTTGTGAACCGCCCTGAGATCTACAGATAAAGGCAGTATACACATTTAATAAGCAATAATGATAGTAATAGTCTGATTCAGTATCAAGACACCTTCCTATGATCCTGTGTTGTGCATTTGTATGTAGGTAACATGCACCTGATGTGGGACACAGATTGCAACTCTGCACTGTTCAGTGTTTATAGTTCAGTGATGCAGCCTATGCTTTGGATGTAGACTGTTCCAGATTCAATCCCTGTCTTCTTAATTAAAGGATCTCAGTTATTAAGGCTGGGAGAGACCTCTGTTGAGACCTTAGAGCAACTTCTCCCAACCTGGTAGCCTGCAGATATGCCGGACTGAACCTCCCATGAGCCCTGCCATTGGCCATGCTGGCTGCAGTTCATAGGAATCCGAAGGCCAACAACATCTGAAAAGCACCAGGTTGGGAAAAGCATGCCTTGCAGCATTGTTGCTAGTCAGAATAGAAAAGCAATGGGCCTGTTAAGAAGTTAGCTTCTTAACATTCTAAAGAACTTCTTTGTGCAGGTGCTCTTTCATGTGATGCTACCACGTACACCAAGACCTGATTTTTGCTCCGCCCAGAGTGAAAACAGCTGCCAGGAGTGGCACATACCATGGGGGCAGAGCTGTCACACTACTTACCTGGATGGACCTGGGCTATGTGATTGTAGTGGGAGAACTGCCAATCTAGTGCTCCCACTGCTCCACCTCTGCAGCCCCAGCCTCCTCTGCCTCTGCCCTGTCTAGGGAAGCAGCAGGTGTGCAGGTAGCAGGAGTGTGGCTGCATCCTTCCACAAGCACTGTCACTGATAGCTATAAGCATCAAGCATTAAATGATGCTTTGGAGGAATATGTTTTTTCGAGACAGTTAACAAGCCCAGCAGTGACTGCTCAACTTAAGGTTCCGGCTCCTCCTCCGAGACTCAGACTCTCCTAAAAACCCTGCCACGGAAATAACGAGGCCTAAAAATAGCTCAGGTATTGCTTGAAGATGCTGAATGCTTCTCTGTCTATGCCTGTCATAATCCTGCCAAAACATTCTCCCACCAAGTAGATGTGCTACTGTAAGGTACGGTACTGGTTATGATTCAGACACAGGTTTGGGGGAAAGCAGTGGGAGGTGGGGTAGAAGCAGCCTTGTCGACAGAAAAGCCAAGCAAAGTACTGCCTGTGCAAGATTTTCTTTGCTCTGTCTGCAGCATGGGAGGTTAATTCACCTCTGCTCACAGATGATCTCATAAGACAATGTTGATTAAGGGTCCAGGTTACAATGTTTGCACAGAAAAAGCTGTGGGGTTGGTCTGCCCTGATGGAACACTGAACGTAAGAACACAAGAAGAGTCTGCTGGATCAGGCCAATGGCCCATCTAGTCCAGCATCCTGTTCTCAGAGTGGCCAACCAGATGTTCGTGGGAAACCCTCAAGGATTTGAGCAAAAAAGCACTCCTTCCTCCTGAGGTTTCCAGGAACTGGTATTCAGAAGTGTTACCGCCTCCAGCCGTAGCGGCAGAGCATAGCTACTATGGCTAGTAGCCATTGAGAGCCTCATACCCTCCAACATTTCTCCAATGAAAACAGGGACGTCCTATTCAATAACAATAATAATTTTATTATTTATACCCCACCCATCTGACTGGGTTGCCCCAGCTACTCTAGGAGGCTTCCAACATATATAAAAACATGAAACATTAAAACAACTTCCCTATACAGGGCTGCCTTCAGATGACTTCTAAAGGTTGTATCATTGGTGTTGGAGTCACATAACCCCATATCCCCCGACATTTCTCCGATGAAAATTAGGGACGTCTTAAGGAAAAGCAGGGCATTTTGGGATCAGATCTTAAAACCAGGACAGCTTCTATAAATCTGAGGCTGTCCATGGAAATTAGGGACACTTGGAGGGTCTGCAGCCTTCTCTTCCATAGTCATTCACAGCTTTCTACATTGTTTCATTTAGTCCATCACTGCCAACTCTGGCAGTTATCAGCTAGATGTCTTTCCCATCACTTATTATGTGATTCTCTAAATCAGGGACATGGGATTTGTGGCATGCCAGATGTTGGAGTCCATCAGCCCCAGCCAGTGCAGCCAATGGTCAGGGATGATGAGTTGTAGTCTAGCAATATATGGAGGGCCTTTGGTTTCCCATCTCTTCTTTAGTTGGAGATGCCAAGAATTGAAACAGGGAGGACCTGCATGAAACATACATTCTCCACCAATGAGCTACAGCCCCTATCCCCTTTCACAGGCATGAATTGACTTGTTTAACGTTCAGATATGTCTTCTTACAAGGTCTTGAGGTGTGCTACTGCAATACTTATTTTACCGTAATTGCCATCATTCACATCACCAAATAAGAGATAAAAAGGTGGGGCAGATTTGCATGGAATTTGAATACACTATCTTATATGTATAGATGCCTGATTCAAAATAATTACTGTAATGTACACAGAAATTCAGTACATCTCAACATGATGGGAAGCAGCTAGATCACCTGTGTACCTGCGTGGTCTGCTGTCCAGGCTCTCACAGCTGATGGACAACTTCAAGGTCTCTTCTCTCCCTTCTTATGGTTTCCTGTGTTTAAGCTAGACTTGCATAGATCCTCCCCAGCTACACCCTTCACCAGACTTGCTACACACTTTTCTTGAGTGTTTGTGCCTGGCTGAAATGTGTCCATGAACTCTGATAATGACTCTAGCTTTCCTTGATGGAGAACCGAGAGAGGTCCGTGCAAGCGTGTGTGAAAACTAGCATGCTGTACAAAGGCAAAATTTGCATTTGTTGCTCCACCCACTTTTGCCTCTGGCCCCACCCATGTGGCATGTGGCTCCTGGAAGCTTGTCTAGAAGGGAATTCAGCACCCACTCTTGTTCTAGACTAGAGCAGTGCTATGCCGGTGCATTATGGGTAATTATGGGGGGTGGGGGATAGACAGTTCGTAGCCTTGCCTGCTGTCACCAGGAGCTCCCAGAGGCCTTATTTATTGTTATATTTTAGAGAAGGAGTTGCTATTTGGATTTTCTGTTTCAGGCTCGAAAATGTCCAGGCCTAGCCCTTTGGAGGTTGGGCATTACATTCAAACAGACCAACAAACCACAGGTAAAAGAAGATGGCACCTGATAAGCTGCCAGTATGGTTCAGCTCTCAGGTTCTCATTATACAGAGGTGTCACTCCCTGCTCCTATCTTAACCAGTCAACTGTGCATTCAATTTTCTTTAGTGCACATTTAAAGAATAATTATCTCAGGAGAACCGATCATGATAACCATCTCCAATTAGGAACTGCTTATCTCACTCCTAGCTACACTACCAGCATCAATATATGTTGGGCAGTGCAGCTAAGGGCTTAGATAATCATCTCCAACTGGTCTAAAACCAATATACCACTTTTATAGGTCATGGGATTACCTCCAGAGAACCTTGGGTATTGTAGTTCAGTGAGATGCTTGCTGTTAAGATATCCCTACCCATCTTCTCCCCCCAAAAGCATACAATTCCCAGGATTCCCGGGGAAACGGGAATGACAATTAAGCTGTTTTAGGTCTCTCATGTGAATATGCTCTCAGTAAACAGAAATGGCACAGTGCATATGAGAGGATTAAATGTGGAAGGAACTAATAGCAGATACAAAGCCGCTTGGCGAGATATGGTATAATGTGCTCTGGTGGAGGAAGGGGCAAATATGTCAATTTTGGTTTCTCCCAGAATCTCCTTTTTTCCAATCTTCAGTTCAGTTGTCCACAGTGGTTTGCAAGATAGATAGATAGATAGATAGGTAGACCTCATGAAAATTCACCAGCATTTCTCTTAATATATACCTGGGGAAGGGCCATAGCTCAGTGATAGAGCAACTGCCTTGCATGCAGAAGATCCCAGGTTCAATCCCCAGCATCTCCAGTTAACGACTCCTGTCTGAAATCATGGTGAGCCATTGGCTGTCAGTGTAGACAATACTGAGCTAGACAAACCAGCAATCTGACTCAGTATAAGGCAGCTTCCTGTGGTATGCACTTCCTGTGGTATGCACTAGGTATGCACTTTCTCCTAATATTCACTATTTTGCAGAGCATTTGTGTTCATTATTTTCACTAGTATGTGCATTTTAATGCAAACTCTACCCCAGCTTCGCCATTTTTGTACACATCACTGGGCTACAGAACTGCATTTGAAAATTCAGAAAAGTGCAGATTTTGGAGGGTGGCTATGTTTCAGTTTGCTTATTGATTTGGGAAGAGTGAAGCGGGTAGGTTCCCCTTTAAAATGTGAAGTGGACTGAATTTCTGCCCCATTCCTGGTCTGGCATTCCGTGGTGCATTACCATTTTTATGCACTGCGTTCTGCAAATCTCGGAGACTCCCTTTCCATGACACATTGCTACAAAGCAGGTAGTGACTTAATGAGAGGCAAAGGAGAGAGACTGAAGAAGGGATTGCCAGAAGCTGCATGAGGTGAATGTTAACAAGCCCATTCACGTCATCAGCATCTTTGCTCCCTGCTCCCATCCTTCTACCCCCCCCCTTTTTATGAACCCTATTGGAACCAGGGAATTACGTACTAAGGAAAACCCTTCTGCTGAGAACATGTAATTATTCTGGGCAAGGATCAATGCAACATGGTTAATCAATTTACCAACTGAATTTGCTTGTATTTTTCTTCTTCGTGGCTGCAGCCTGGCTGAGAAAGGAGGGGAGGTAGAATTAGGAATGAGGGTGAGAAACTGGGTTTTGCATTTGTGAAATGGGGCATTTATAGCTGAGCATTCATTATCACTGGAACCTCCAGAGCTTTTGGCAGGCAAAACACTGCTATCAATCAGCAGGACTTGGAATAAATGACTCCATATGAGGCTATTACTTTAAAAGGTGCATTTAAGAAGGAGCTGATCTTATATATTTACGTGCACACACAGCTGTTTAATCACCTTGCAGGCTGCCGAGAACCACAACTGATTTTGTTGCTGTTTAACTTGAAACATTGTGATGTCACACACAGAACCATTCATTTATACACATATGGTGCTCTCTTGACTGTAAAAGAAACACATCTGAAGGAAAACAAAAATTGGCTGCTCACAATTCTCAATGAAATTTTGCAACTGTGATTCTAAAATAAATGCAGCAACAACACACTTATACATTTCATTTAACAATAAGCATGCCTAAAAATGTATTACTGGAAGCAGACAGGATGCTGCCACAATCTGGGTAGGGGCTGGAATTCCAGAGGTCTATTGTGGGGGATTCCCAACCCCTCCCTGCAACAAATAATGGTTTCAGAAGAAGGGTTGTCCTCAGAACTGCTGCAATGGCTGCAAGAATTTCCCTTCTGTGATTGCTCTGATATTGCTGATTATCAGACCCCTCCACCACCACGCCAGCTGAAGCTATTTGCATTTTGAAAAATCTGCATCTGAGATACAAAGATCCATATAACTCTGTGCCTGATTTGGCCCTGATTTTCCGGTGGTTTCAGTTTAAAACACTGTTTAATAGTTAGCTGTCATTTTATTCTGCAGTATTTCACTTCAAGTGCTACTTGATGGCAAAGAACATTTTTTTTGGGGGGGGGAGCGCAGTTACCATCTGTGTGCATGTATTTATATAGATATAAAAATGTGATGAGCATAGGAAGCTGCCTTATACCGAGCCAGACTCTTGGTCCATCTAGCTCTTTGCTGCCTGCACAGGCTGACAGCAGCTCTCTTCGGTTTGAGGCAGGGAGCTTACCTAGAGATGCCAATCACTGGCCCTGTGACTTTCTCCATGAAAAGCAGAGACTCTGCCATTGTGCTATGGCCCTTCCGAGAAAATTTATGGTTTTGCTGAATAGAGGTGCAAAACCTTGTGGAACAGTTACTATCTGCAGCACATAGCTAAACTAGGGAGCTCACTCCCACAGGGGGCCGTGATGGTCACATGGTTTCAGCAGATTCATGGAGGAGAGGACTATTGGTGGCTATTAGCCATGATGCCTATGTGCTGCCTCCATAGAGGCAGTAATGCTTCTGGATACCAGTTGCTGGAAACTTCAGGTGGGAACACAACAGCTTTAGGGCTTCCCACAGGAACCTGGGAAGAGGATGCTGGACTAGATGGACCCAGCAGGCTCAAGTTCTTATGCTATGTTCTTCACGAGGTTGCACGGCAAACAGGGATTTCTCTCTAAGCTAAAATGCCAGCATACTCCCTGAAGCTGCACAGTGGGAATTGGGAAATTGCAGTTTGTTAGACTATAACTCCTCGACCCCCTCGGGGGCAGATGGAACATCAAAGTGCACTTTGCCATCTCACATGATCAGCAAATGCAATAGAACAGCTACAGAATATATCTTAAGAACCTAGGAAACACTGTGCTGGCCCATCTAGTTCAGAATTCTATTCTCACCATGGGCAACCAGAGGCCTCTGGGGAGCCCCAAAGCAGAACCCGATCACAACAGCACCCTTAGCAAATGACAGTTCACTGAATTTCAATTTGCATGCTGTTGTGGGAGGTATGAATCAGGCCCCATCTGCCCCATCTGCTTAAACCAGTACAGTGGTACCTTGGTTATCGAACGGCTTGACTCCTGAACAAATCGGCTCCCGAACGCTGCAAACTGGAAGTGACTGTTCCAGTTTGTGAACATTTTTCAGAAGCCGAACATACAGAGAGAGCCAGTGTGGTGTAGTGGTTAAGAGCGGTGGACTCGTAATCTGGGGAACCGGGTTCCCGTCTCCACTCCTCCACATGCAGCTGCTGGGTGACCTTGGGCCAGTCACACTTCTCTGAAGTCTCTCAGCCTCACTCACCTCGCGGAGGGTTTGTTGTGGGGGAGGAAGGGAAAGGAGATTGTTAGCCACTTTGAGACTCCTTAGGGTAGTGATAAAGCAGGATATCAAATCCAAACTCTTCTTCTTCTTCTTCTTCAGTGCGGCTTCTGCTTGAGTGTAGGAAGCTCCTGCAACCAATCGGAAGCCGCGCCTTGGTTTTCGAATGGTTTCGATAGTTGAACGGACTCCCGGAATGGATTAAGTTCGATAACCAATGTACCACTGTATCTTATCACTGTTACAGTCATGGCTTCCCCCAAATAATCATAGTAATTGTAGTTTGCTAAGGGTGTTGTGAGTTGTTACAATACACCTGTTCCCCTTACATAATCAAAACCCCCAGCGTGGTTTAACTAACGACCCTTCCCCAGGGATTGTTCTGTGAGGGGACTAGCAGTCTCCTCCTAACAACTCTTGCCACCCATAACAAACTACAGTTCCCAGGATTCTTTGGGGGAAAGCCATGACTATTTAAAGTAGAACACTGCTTTAAATGTACAGTGCAGATGGGGTCTTAATCAGCATCCCTTGGAAGCTGAACATGCTCAAGTCGTCATTGCTGCTTTGGGGTTCTTGCCCTCTCCACTTTTTAGGGATCAGTTTTGTACTTCTTCTAACCCCAGGGTCCCCTGTACCTACCTCCTGTGCAAGTCACAACCACTCCTGCAAGTGCACCTGCTGAAACTTCCCCATCATTTTGCTTGCTCTGTGCATACAAAGGCACATACAGTAGTACAAAGCTACAGTATTTGGAATCTCAGAAACAAGTTGTATAGAAGGAGCCTTTAAAAAAAAAAAACAATTTCTCAAAGTACAGTGGTACTTCGGGTTGAGAACTTAATTCATTCTGGAGGTCCGTTCTTAACCTGAAACTGTTCTTAACCTGAGGTACCACGTTAGCTAATGGGGCCTCCTGCTGCCACTGCACCACCGCTGCACGATTTCTGTTCTCATCCTGAAGCAAAGTTCTTAACCCAAGGTACTATTTCTGGGTTGTTGGAATCTGTAACCTGAAGCGTCTGTAACCTGAAGTGTCTGTAACTTGAGGTACCACTGTATCTCACAAGCTTTGCAGGGCATCTGCAATGTGGAAATCAGAGGGTGTTTGTAAGATATATATAAGGGGGGTGCATGTGCCCTATTTGTTGATTCTCAGATGCCCAGGGAATCAAAAGGAAAATAGAAAGAATACTTTATTGAGTGGCCATGGGGCTCAAACCAGGAGTCTTATGTATGACACACTGGTTATGAGAACATATTAAGTTGCCTTTTACTGTCAAACCCTTGGCCAACCTGATCTACTCTTTCTAGCAGTGGGTGTCCAGGAAGTCAAGCTCAGGTCTAAATTATAGTAACCATTTCTAACTTGGCATCTGTACATTTTAATTCAAATCAGTTCAGTTCAATTCAATTTATCTACTGCCCATTGGTGTGTATACATATCAATTAGTACATGCAGATTTTATGCAGATATGTGTCCTCTCGTGTGTGTGTGTGTGTGTGTGTGTGTGTGTGTTTGTGCAATGCATTTTAAAAATAAATAAATAAATAAATTGTGGGCAGGGGTATGATGCAAAGATGGGCAATCTAGGTTGCCCTTTGTGCCTCTGAGGAGCCAGACCACCCACCATGCTCCTGCTCATTGCTATTGTCTTCTTCAATGCTTCTGTTGCTCTATGGGAGGCCTGAAGATTTGAGAAGGTGTGTGTGTGTGTGTGTGTGTGTGTGTGTGTGTGTGTAAAATGAATATGCAATACATTTAGCTGCCAACTCTTGCCAGTTCCTGCCCTGGAATAGGCTTATATGTGAACATTAATGATCTCCGGCAAGTTCCAAAGATCTCAGAAGCCCACTTTGAAGATATTTGGAGCAGGCCTTTTAAGGTGGCTACCTCTGTTCTTTGGAATAGCTTTCTTGCCGGGATACAGCAGGTGCACACTGTCTGCGGTTTCCCGAAACAACTGAAGGCAATTTCCCCCACCCAACAGGTTTTCGCAGCCGGATATCAAGTCTTTGCTATGAGTGTCTATTTTGCATTGCTTTAGCTTTGTTTTAAATGTATCAGCTGTTTTTGGGGGGGTGTGTG